GCCGAAAAAAGAGTGATGACTGTTGCTCCCTTATAATTGTTCATAAGAAACTGCTGAATCCTCGAAAGTAAAAGCTTCCACCTATCGCCAAGAGGCCAGTGGAGGGTCTCTTGCAGAGACAGGAGACCCTCCACTGGCCTCTTGGCGGCAGGTAGAAGCTTTTATTTTCGGGGATTCAAGAATTCCTTATGGGCAATTATAAGGGACCAACAGTCATCACCCTAATTTCGGCTGTTGACCTACCTACATGGTGGATTGTTCGTACAGCTTCGGGTGACGTCATGGGCCGAACAAGTTTCCCAAACTTCGGCCATTTTCGACTTGTTTGCAAAACGAAATTGCCACCACGTTGTTGACCATCAACCATGCAAGTAAGTCAACAGTAGAATGCTGAAGTCCCGAAAGTAAAAAGCTTCCACCATGGCCAAGATAAAAGTGGAGGGTCTCTTGTGTCTTGTCTCTTATCTCGTGAATTTTCCCAGTGAATTCGTTGGTTATTAAAGAAAATACGGCAACGCCTGAAGGCTCATACGGCATTTCCTCTTAGGACGGCAGAAATTCTGTCGACTCACAGTCAGTCGGAGGTGGATTTTTTCCCGGCAACTGCGGGGAGGCATCTGGAGTTGTGAGTAGAAGGTCCCGAGACGTATGAATGGACGCGCTATGAATTGATTATTTAATTTGTTTTCCACTCGCCAAAATTACAGCGGCGGCACCGGCGACTACGAACGGCGGGGCTGTCCTCGACCGTTGTGCATTCCGCTCTTTCGATGCCCGCAGCAGCCGACCCGAGAAAATTAGAGTACCGGTCCAGTCTCAGACGCGACTACATTTCACTTTTGTTTTCGTTTCCATTTTCATTTTTAGCCGCATCATTCGCATCACTCAATGTTTCTCCTTCACGCCTCATCTGGCCGCGTGCTTTATTTACACTCCGTATGACATCCGACGCAGCGACCACTGCTCGTCGCCACGCCGCCGCCACCACCGTCTTTGTACAGCGTGTTCCATAAGTAACCTCCGATTCCAGGTTTTTGCCCATACACTGGAAAAAAAACACATTGGATCTAGAGTCCAGACTCTTAAAAACATCGACAAGAAAAAGTACTCTTGATTCAATCAGAATCTAGCTTAAATCAAGAACCAAGCCTCTTAATTTGAGCGGATTTCGTTTTGATTCAAGCAAACATCCGATTGAATCAAGCGTATTTTTTCTTGTCAATGTTTTCAAGAGTCTGGACTCTAGATCCAATGTGTTTTTTTTTCCAGTGTACGTTTGGGAAGCAATTCTGTCTCAATGGATAATTAGACAGAGTTAAAAAATTAGCACTCAAATAAATCATGTTTTCTGATCGATGTTTTATGTTGAGTAAGGTAAACACTGTGGATATTTCTTAATCAAATGAGCAGTGGGTCAGTTGCGCTGACGTGTTTTGATGCCTGATTCTTGATTGGCTAAAAATTATAAGATCTGTTTAAATAGCAACTTTCTACGTTAAAGAATATACGAGATACCGCACTTTGAAATGTTGGGTTTTTGACGTCATACGCCGCGGTAATGCGGTATTGACACCCTTGGTTTTTTCTTCCTGTTTTTATCCGAGTTTTTCGGTTGAGTAACCCATGCAAATGTGCGTCACGATGACTGATGAAAGCAAGGTGGAAGAAACAAGAGGTGTCTTTACCGCGGTGGATGACGTCATCAACCAAATTTTTCAAAGCGCGATATCTCGGTTAATATTGAACGTTAGTTGCTGTTTAGACGGATCTTAATATTTTAAGCTAATCTTCAAGAATCAAGCATCAAAACACGTTCTTTAACCAATGCAACTGACCTATTAGCGGTTTTCTGAACGATAATTGATCACAAAACAGGGTGCGAATATAAGCATTTTAATTTATATGTCAAAATTTTACTCAAAACACAATGAGGCAGTAGCGCTAATCACAGGATCGTGTGTTGAAGGCTCTAGATTATAGATTATCAAAAACTGATTTTTAACGAATTTGGAAATTTTCAACCCAAAGATTCGGCTAATGTAACCCTAAGATTTTGTAGATTTAACCCAAAGAAATACTCAATCAAAAAAATTGACCTCACGCCTATGTCACTTTCTGTTTCACATCCCACATTAACACAAAAAATCGGTGACTTTTTCCTACCGTGTATGAAAAAGACACAAGACTCGATAGAGAATTCTACCCATAAAAACGCACCCTTACACATCGTAGGAAATAGAGCATGCCATTTAGCTTTGATAATCGCAATTACACCCTGATAAGAATATAGTATACAATATTCGTATGTACGGCCATCGCTTCCACTTTCTTACCCGTTCGTTCAAGTCTCTCGCGTTGCATATTTGAGTCACATGTAAACACGAGTCATCGTAATAAGAGAACAGACTGAATAGCACTTAGTCTCATCACAATGAGTCAGTGACGCTGATCACAGAATAATATTTGGATTACAAAACTTTGCGATTAACAAAAATAATAAGATCGGTCCAAACGCCAAGTACATGGTTTCTACCACTTTGGTTTTATCTAGCAAGGATACACACATTTGTAATGGTTGCTCATCGTATAACATGGATAAAACCAAGGTGGAAGAGACTGCGATATGCATTACCGTGGTAGGTGATGTCATACTTCATTTTTTTTTTTAAATGGCCTATATTTTCTTTGATATTGGACGTAGAAATTTGGTGTTTGAACGGATTCTTTTTATTGAACTTTTATCAAAACACGATTCTATGACCAGCGCAACAGACCCATTTGTGCAACAAAATTTATTGAAAGTAACTCGTACACGAAAAAAAAGTGTCAGGGGCGATCCCCTAAAATTGTGGTAATATCCCAATTTATTGGACGACATTCCCAATTACTTTTGTTAGTACCCTAACATTTGGGTTAGTAACCTAATATATTGGGGGTGCTACCACACTTAGTTGTTGGAATATTACCACAATTAATTGGAAATGTTAGTATCATCCAACAGTTGGGACTTTACCCTTACCTCTTTTTTCCGTATAACTAAGATATAAATGTTTTTCGATGCATTAATTCAAACTTCCTGCTCATTAAAAAAACTTCATCTACTTGAGTTAAATCGCACACAAAGGTGCGAGGGGCCTCTCCGAGGAATGGATCTGTTTCAGAAATTACCATGAATACAACCCTTCTTTCTAGCTGAAGAGTTGATTTCGGAATCGAATGCGTCACTTTGAACTGTCGGAAATTTGAATACTGACACTATTGTCTGTCGTCGTGCCTTTGAGCGTGATTCTGTATCGAGATGAATAAGTCGCAGAACACGCAAACCGTACCTCACTCAAAAAAGACAGAGAGAAAAAGAGAGACAATGTTTCTTTCAAACCTCGCAGCATATATTGGTTTCTAGGAGACAACCCAATTATTTTGACTTATTAATTGAACTTGTGGGGTATGTTATTTTATAAATTAAAATTGGGACAAATTTTGGTAGAAAAAAAAGTTAGTAGTACATCCCATTCGCAGGACTAACTGCAGTGAGACACAATATAATACATAGAAAAGTATTAGGTAAACTTGTAGTAGAAAACAATGTTTCAGGAAAAACGACTCGCCACTGCAAAACTTTGCAGCAGCTCTATCGATATGATCAATGAGAAGATGAACGTTTCTCCAAGCTCCAGTAAAACTTTGCAATATCTCTATCAATATGATGAATAAGAGGGCAAGTTTTACTCAGACCATTTCAGTGCACGGCGAATGCCTCCGAGGCGTCGAGTATTCGTCGCTCTTTCCTTAATATTCCTCCGAACTTGAATGTTCGGCTGAAAAGTTAAGCATGTTTTACGAGTACGTTGACTAGACGATTATACCCTACGGGCTCCATTTTAACGAGTTGGAAAGTCTGAGCCTCTAGCCAGCGGACGCGCACCTCTAACTTGAACCCACTCTGTAGCCTCTCTTGCAATACGATGCTGGGTTGTGTCGTCGTTTGCATGACGGATCGCGAATTATCTTGCTACATATTATAATTTTCTTGAAAAAAAAGGTTACATCGAAAAAGTCCCTCGCAGTTGTCTCTAAAATATTCGAAAAAAAAATCATCATCACTCAGAAAAAAGTTCAGTTTTTTTAGCGGGAGTATGGTGTTCTGTATTGGTCGCACTTTTCAGTTCATATAACTGTTCTCTTGGTTCGAATCGGTTCTTAAATTCGCATCTTCATTCCTCGTAGAGAAACTCTTTATGCAGTTTGGTTTAAAACCGCAGTGATTTGAACCGAAGTGCAGTTATACATGAACCGGATAGTGCGGCAGGTAGAACACCTTACTTCGGTTCAAACAACCGAACTTCTTTTCTCCCTGATACTGAAGTTGAATGACTCCAGCCCCCGAATTTTACGGGTTATTTTTCATTTTTTATTTTAATTTTTTACTTTATTGAAGAGATCGATAATTTCTAATTGAAAAGTTCTATTTTCAATGTGAACACCGAGCAGACGACTAACGATAAGATTTATCGTTAGGAATTTCCATGAGTGCAAAAAAAGGCTTGAAACTTTTTGAAAGAGATTATTGTGGACATGAAAGCTCAAAGTTCCCATGAAAATAGCTTGACAAGAGACAAGAGCGCAGGTAAAACCAAACACTCTTTTCAAGCAACTTGGGTTCCTGCAAGCCTGCTTGTCTAATCGGCACTGAAACCCGTAAGCCAAAATTAATTAAGGGGCTTGGAGGACAAAGCGCATACGTGCAGTTTCTGAAAAAATAGAGGTATGGATGATTTCGAGTAGACCAATTCTTCATGCATATTTCGTGAAAAACTCGTTCCCAAATTTCAATTTTTAAGCATCAAAAAGAGCGTTTGAACTTTCTTTCCGCCACAAGGATTCATGTAATTTCGAAGCTTTGAACACGTATTTCTTGAAAAAGTAAAAACTACACTTATGCGCCTTGACTTGTCCTCCAAGCACCTCAATTAGTCCATCGAGAATAACGAGAGACTTACTATTTTCAGTATATCCATTCTTAGTTAATCCGTAATCCTTCGGGGTCGTTCTCACTGCACTTGTTCACTTTTTACACCTTTTGAACTTTACCGCTTTCATTTAGAACTAGTACACCGAATCCGTGTTTCCTCGGTCAAGTAGTTCACTTGCACATCCCGGCGCGACACAGAACAGAACTAAGTACACGAAAACACACTCGGAAAAGCTTCTTGGGATCTCGGTGAAAAATATCACTTTTCATGCACTATCTTTTGAACTCCGTCGGCGATCTCACGAGCTTCGAGCGGGGGTTGTCTGCGTGTTTAACTGTTTCTGGGGGCGCGAAATGCAACTGGGATCCGGTCGCGTCTTGCCCACCAACTCGCGCATCGTTCACTCGCTCGTCCGACCTGACTTACTACTGGAAACCGTCGCCACTTACTCCCGTACTTACTGCCATCATTTCTCCCAAGTTCTTCCCTCCTGCTCTCTCCGTCCTCTCCCCACCGCTTTCTTCGCCGCCCCTCTTGACTCGCGCCAGGTGCCTTTGTGGTACTTGACTTTGACGCTTCTTCAGACACCATTGGGAGTACCCCCGAGGCTATTAATTTTTTCTTTTAAAAAAACTCTGTAGAACTTCAAAAAAGTGGTAGTAATATTTGTTAATTTTAAAGCGGTACCTTGGCAACTATGTTCACTTACACCTCTATAGTTAGGTGACAGGGTTGGTTACGAAAAGGATCAAATTTGGAAGGTAGTAGTGGGGAAAAAACAAGAACATAAAATTTAGCGGAAAACTCTTCGAAAAACGGTCAAAATATCCGAGCTAGGAAACAATTTCTGTTCTTTCTTGCGTACTAACGCCACTTTCTACTTCTTCGAGTTTTTTCGTTCGGAAAACGCCGTATGAACTTTCAGGCATTGCCAAATTTCCCTTGATAAAACACAAATTTCCTGGTAAATTTATGCATATCTTCCTTCCAATTTTTCAGATAATTTTGTTCGCAATTTCACATGAAGCTCCTGAAAATTTCAAGGACAAAGTATTCATCACTCTCCTCAAAATTAAACATTTTATCGAGGGAAATTTGGCAACTCTCGAATGCTCATACTGCGTTCTTTCTTAGCACGGTAGTAGCCTTCCTTCGTTACCTTGAACCACTGAACTGCGGTAATACGTTACCCTTTTGGATCTCCATGTGAACAGCCATTCAGGGAAACGCAAGACCGCTGATATACGGTTCTACATTTCCGTTTTCGGTTGACCTTATGTCTCGTAGGTCCGCACTTAAGAAACTTGGTGGTGCGTGCTAGGTGCGGTACCTTTAAGCTCAAAGGTCCTCCGGATACTAAGTAGCTCTTGGCGTTTTGATGCTCGAGGGGTGTTCGCGTGAAGATTCGAAGAGGTAACGTAGGACCTTATCCTAGCGGCACTGCGTTCCAATACGCAAAACCGCTGGAGCGCAGTGCAACGTTACATTTTTGGATCTCCCTATGAACACCCATCCAGAGGAACGCAAGACCGCTATAATGTGGTCCTGCGTTACATGACAGAAAACCGGTGGAATGCGGTCCTATGTTTCGCTTTCGGATCTCCACCCATTCAGAAGAACGCAGTATACGCACGGGAAATGTACTGCGTGCCTTTAATTGCTTTCCTATGTTTTGTCTAATGTTGAGGTTTTTCTGGTCGAGATAAAAATTTAGTAAGTTCCAATTGAGCAGTAGTACTTTTTTGCCGTGGCGTCGACACAAATTTTTGGCCAGAATGTCAAAATTCTTGAAAATTACAGAAACTGCCGTCTTGAAAAATCGTCCAGTCATGTATAGGCGGTCCAAACACACGTACCCCTCAATAAACAAATGCTTCTTCTTCTTCTTGTCCTTCTTCCTATTCTTCTTGTTCTTCCTGTTCTTCTTGTTCTTCCCGTTCTTCTTGTTCTTCCCGTTCTTCTTGTTCTTCTTCTTCTTCTTCCTCCTCCTCTTCTTCTTCCTCCTCCTCTTCTTCTTCTTCCTCCTCCTCTTCTTCTTCCTCCTCCTCCTCTTCTTCTTCCTCCTCCTCCTCTTCTTCTTCTTCCTCCTCCTCTTCTTCTTCCTCCTCCTCTTCTTCTTCTTCCTGTTCTTCTTATTCTTCTTCCTGTTCATCTTGTTCTTCTTCTTCCTCCTCTTCTTCTTCTTCTTGTCCTTCTTCCTGTTCTTCTTGTTCTTCTTCCTGTTCTTCTTGTTCTTCTTCCTGTTCTTCTTGTTCTTCCCGTTCTTCTTTCTTCTTCTTCCTCCTCCTCTTCTTCTTCTTCTTCTTGTTCTTCCTGTTCTTCTTGTTCTTTTTCTTCCTCCTCCTCCTCCTCCTCTTCTTCTTCTTCTTCTTCTTCTTCTTCTTTTTAAGAGAATGCGAATTTTAATACCTCAATAAATGTTCTCATCGGGTTGATAATCCGTCGAAACATTATCGATATTTCCTGTCCATATCACACGACTGCGCAATGACAGGCCGTCAGTCGTACTTAAGACTGCGCAGCGGTGAAACAATAGGCACCTCTCGCTAGAAGTCGGGTGTTCGGGTAGCGTGCCTCTGCCTGTTACATCTTTTGGATGCTGTCACAGTGCCGCACGCCGCAAGCCGCGAGCCGTCGCGTCGCCTCCCGAATAACCTCGTGACTTCCGTCATTCCTTTACAAACTCCCGCAACGAGGAGGAGGGCCCGTTGCGTCATCCCTGGAGCTTCCCTATCCGATATCCGACAGCACTCGTGCGGATTAAGAGCTCGTCCAGGTTGACGATGATCCTTGTCGGTGTTACGCATCACCATCACGTATTGTGCCCAGAGACGATATTTTTTGGAGACCCTGCTCTGCTCTCCTCCCTACCATGTAAAAGTTACGTTTAGAAGACAACGCTCAGATTTGCCCAATGATGACAGATGACCTGCCTGCTGGTGAGTTAGTGACTGAGTTAGCAGTTCTAACTCGGAGTACTTTCAAAGGGAGAGTATGGATACTGGATTACATGGAGCTCCCAGGATACTCGAGTGGATCTCGTCTTGGATCCGCCTGTGGCCGACCGTTTGGTTACGAAAACAGGAAGTTGGGTTTGACAAACTGAATGGTTTGGATGATATGGAGCACGTAACGTTCTGTTTATCGTATGACCGAACTTTGTATTTCACCACAAAAAGATTTAAAATTGACTAGGGGGCTCCGCAACCCCCAAAAGCCGCTTCGCGGACAGAAAAATCGTCGAATCACCCGTTGGCGGTTAATGAGCAAATAAGTTTTATTGAATAACGAAACGATTTTTGAAAGAAAAATTTCCCACCAAAAAATATTCTTAACTCTGAATTTTTATTCCTTTTTTGGAAGTCGACCTTCACAGGGCCACAGATAGCTGTCCATAACTAAATAAAGGTCTCTGAAAGTAAAGACCCACTCTATTAAAACTCTGACCTTTGAACTTCCCTTCCTCACCCCGTCCATCAAGCGTCTTAAAAATGATTTTATTAGGATAGAGAGGATTTGTTCACCCAATAAATTGAAGAAAGTGACCGGAACCAAAACCTTAGCCAATATCCTCGCGTATCAAAAAACGTTCTTGCGTACAAATCCTCGTCTCACCACCTTCTTTCGTCTCTCCGTATAGTAGACCCCGAGTGCGGTATGTCATCCGCGTTGATGAAACGGCGACAGCGATCTCCAGGAGCCCTGGCTCCGCGGGCCCCGGGTCGGACTCCGACCGGACCAAATCGCCGCTGAATCCGTAAACTGTCGCCGCGCCCCGCCGGTCAGTCGGCCCTCTTCATGTTCTCTGTTTCGCTCCGAATTTTCCCTTTCGGACGCGGACCACATTCCTCGAGACGGATTTCCATCGCGGTTTATCCGTCCGTTTCGTAATCGGGTCTTTAGGCCCGCAGCCCCTCCCTCCCCCCGGACCCGGATCATCCGAGGAGGAAACACGGCTGTCGGGAGACGGGCGCCCGCATTGTCCTCCGCTCCGAAAAGTGTGCGAGTATCCCCATAAATCAATATTTTTCCAGCCGAACGGGGTTCCATATCGCAATCCGCGGCCGCAATTTAGGCCGCCGCAGCTGACCAGCGCTGGTCTGCGTAATGATCGGTTTCCCATTCCCGGAAGGGTTATCTCGTCCACGACATGCCCTTGCCCCACCTTCGAAGAGACTTTATTCGGGCGTCGAATAATGGTCTGCTGGGAGCATTGAATCGTCAAAGGGACCGCGGGATAGGGTACGGAATGGAGATGTTGCGTGTGTGAGGAATTTGCGATTTAACTGTTGGTTCTTTTGTAAAAGTTTGCGAGAAACACGATGGACCATCGTGGATCGCATATCAGCGCCTACAAGACTGCATGAATACTTCACGCATTGCGACAAACTCAGTGCGGTCGGCGATCGGTGTGGAACGCATCAGCGCCTACAAGACTGTAGGAATACTTCATGCATTGCGTCAAACAAATGGAGATGTTGCATATGTGAGGAATTTGCGATTTGACTGTTGATTCTTATGTAAAATTTCGCGAGAAACACGATGGTGCCACTGGTTTTCTCTGAAATCAACTTCCAAGCTCAAAAAAAAGCTCTCAAGTTGAGGCCCAAAATGGAGGGGATATCCCACGCTATCCTGAGAGTCCACCTCTACATCAAGACAAACTCTCCATGCAAAGATAGGGAGCGAATACATTGACAGGGCTGCCACTTTATTTGGGGACTCCAAAACTGAAAACACGGCATCACTGCTAATGTATTTGCTCCCTATCTTCGCATGAAGAGTTTGTCTTGATGTAGATCTAGACTCTCAGGATAGCGTGGTATATCCCCTCCATTTTGGCTTCAACTTGAGAGCTTTTTTTGAGCTTGGGAGTTGATTTCAGAGAAAACCAGTGGCACCATCGTGTTTTTCGCAAACTTTTACATAAGAATCAATAGTTAAATCGCAAATTCCTCACACATGCAACATCTCCACTGTAATTCCTCCCAGGAAGTAAACAAATATCGATGTAGCGAAAATTTTTTTGCTAAAATCAGTGTATTACTTTTCACGATTTGTGAATACAAAGATGTAACAGTGCAGAAGCATACTTCAGCAGTCTACTGGTGAAAAATTCCTTCCAAAAACCCTAAATTAAAGCCAGATGAGACTACTTGCTATCGTAAAATCGTGAAGTAAAAGTTTCAACGAACTCCATTCATTTGCTTTAATTATAATGGATTAAACTTAAGG